TCTAAGGTTTCGTCGAACTTGAAAGTTTATTATGTACGTTGTAAAATAATAACTCAAATTTTTTGGATACACAGCCCCTCTAAATTGGTCATGAAAGCCCCAATTTTTTTCTCGCACCCCAGCGATCGCTGTCCTACTGTCTCCACCCGCCCCTACTACCTACAAAGTTACTCACAAAGTCTTTTAATAGAAGTCTGTGATTTTTGTTATATCAATTCATTTCACGTATTATGAGTTGGGAAAGGAAAGTAAGATCATTTGGCGTGTGATATGATGTAACAAAAGAGCTCTTGGATGTAAAGTTTACATTTGCAGCTTTATTTTTAACGCATCCAATATTTTTTAGATTAATGTGTATCAAACTATCTCTTTCGTTTGCCTGACGCACTCGAAAGTCCTCGCATTTTGTCCCCGATGAAACGTTTTATTTTTTTTCATATAATTATTTTTTTGTGTTTGTGCTTGCGCTGTTTCGCATTTTGATCGAAGTCGAACATTTTTGTTGACCTGCTACCGACTGATTGCAAGTCTGTGCCTTCAATTTAACAGTTTTGGGATAAGAGATGTACATCTTAGAGAGTTCGGTTTTTTCTTTGTAAGAAGAATGTAGTTAAGATTTGATCAGCTCTACCGTGGCGAATGATTGTTTTAGAGTTGAAGCGTTTAATGTATCCTTTATTTTTCTATTTCATTTTATTTTAAACATAATCTTTGTGAGGTGCTACGGAACATAAGAAACATTTTCCATGAAAGGATTCGCAACCGAGTGGGTTCATGAATCTTAGAACAGAGCTACTTACAAAGGAGTTATTAATAGAACAATTTTATAACGTATTATTAGAAATTTATCACTGCATGCCAAGTGACTTTAAAACAAGACAATTGTACATCTTGTAAAATAAGTGGAAGTAAAAACACTTCAATTAAAAGTGATTCAATCTGCACATACCCAAAAGTGATGTTACATGGGAGACAATCTCGCAACAATGTTGCAACGCTGTGTTGCGCTAAAAATCGTTGTTGCGAC